TGTTAATTTTTTAAATTCTATATCAGTCAAAGATTGAAAGATTTATCTAAAAGTATCTTTTAGCAAAAAATATTTAGTTAAGAAAATAATTGATCTAAAAAGAATAACTGAAATAAAAGTATTCATTATGAAAAAAAAGTTGTTGTGTACATAAACGGCTTATTGAGTATATGCGAAGTGTCTTTATTTCAGTTCAATTATTATTCGAAATCCTCCAATCTTATACATGTCAAAGTAGCGACTCCCATACAAAAAGAATTTGGTTTTTATCTCTGGATTTCCATGAATATGTTAGACACCTATATATAAAATATATTTCACTCTTGATTTCCTACAAATCTTTGAGTATTTTTCTAATTAATTGACAATTAAGAATAGAATACAGAAATCAGTGATTAATCGCGATTAATGGCTGAATTTATCGCCGATTTCGAAAATATCGTTTCTTTTACGAAAATCGCGATAAAATCTGATTTAATCGTCGATCTTTTACAGAATTCGATTAGTCCCAATTTTACGCCGATTTTTTTGAAAATCGGAAAAATCGTCGCGGTTTTCTCGACATGGGGAGTTTCAAGCACTGATATTTGCCATAGGCTACTAATAATAAGAATTGATTTTCGTCCATAAGATAGTAACAAAGCGAAGGTCATTAAAATTATTCAATTGTCACTTTTTAATATTTTTAATTAATTACAGTAATTAATAGTAAAACTTGAGACATTTTTTATGTAAAGTATCACACAGAAATATCATAATTTATTTTAATTTATATTCGATAAATTACGAAAAGTAAAAAATTTATATGTAAAATAAATATAAATTACTTATCGTTTAATTTACGCATAAATTAAATTAAAATTAAATGTAAACTGACACCGCTACTCCATACTAACATCCACACCTGTTACCTCCGTGATCGACATTCTAATGAACAAAAGCTCACTGCATTGTATGTGTCTCGAAATTGAATCATCGCATCAGATGACTATGATTCTTTGAAGAGTCAGTCCTTTACATTCTCCATTTCACCTTCGACATGATGATTCATCAATGCAACACATTGTGCGAACATGCAGCTAGATGATGCAAGTAACATCGATAAGTATGAGTAATTCACTCACACACAAAAATATTTTGAATTTTTTCTTCTGTTGCTTGCATCACACGCGTTTGTATTTGTGTATCCAGCCATCTATGCGATTACAATGACAACGAGTGAAAATCAAGCGTTTATGCATCCAAAACTTTATCAGATTCGTGGTGCACAATATTCTAAACAAAGTAAAACAACGACTTTTCGAGTGTATGCGCCGAATGCACGATCTGTGTCTGTCACTCTGACATCATTCGGCAGAGAAATTTCCAGACTACCCATGCACAAAACTGCCTCAGATCTTTGGGAAACTGTCACTGATAAAATATCACCTGGTTGTACATATCTCTATCTTGTAGAAAACTGGGACGGTAAACAAATGTTACGAACGGATCCAGTGAGTTTTTCTGTTATTTACATTCCCGAAATCAATCAAGTACATTCGCTTGTCCACGATCAAACGGTTTATCAATGGGGCGATCAACGGTGGATGGAACAGCGCGTGCAAATTGATCCGTTACGATCACCATTGTCTATCTATGAGCTTCAACCGAAATCGTGGAAAACTGATGCATATCATCCATTGAATTATCGTCAATTGGCTCCTGAACTAGCAATGTACTGTCAAAAAATTGGATTTACTCATGTGGAAATATTTGGTGTACTCGATCATGCCTATCAGCTGGCACGTGGCTATCAAGTGGCCAACTATTTTGCTCCCTATCGTGATAATGGCACATGTGATGATCTGAAATATTTCGTAGATCATTTACATCAGAATAATATAGGAGTAATTCTCGACTGGATTCCAACTCATTTCCAACATTGTCATCAATCGGATTCGTTCTCGATTTCTCTGCACGAATTTGATGGATCCAACTTGTATGCTGATAAAGCGTCAAGTTGGGGAACGCTCTATTTTGATTATAACAAAGAAGAAACCTGTCGATTGTTATTTGCCAGCGCACTCTATTTCCTCGACGTTATGCATATCGATGGAGTCCGTTTTGATGCGGTCAGTACGATGATTCGACGGGATTCGAAGGACATTCCAGCAGCCATTGAATTCCTGCGTAATCTCAATCAAACTATTCATCGATGTTATCCTGGTGTTCTATGCATTGCAGAAGAAACAGATGGATATCGAAATTTGACGAAGAATATGAATTTTGATTTAAAATGGAATATCGGCTGGAGTTTCAATGCTCGGAATCTCTTGCGCACGCCTTATCATGAAAGACCCAATCATTGGCAGCAACAAGTTCTCAGTACACTCTATTCAGCGCAAAAAAGTGAAGATAAAACGATTCTTACGCTCAGTCATGACGATACGGATTCCGGTGAGCACAATAGTGATAAAATCCTATTGAGATGTGTGTCACACGGTCGAAATAATTTTGAGAAATTTTCCGATCTTCGAAACTTCTTTGCCTGGCAAACATTGGCACCAAGTCGTGGTCACATGATTCACATGGGTGATGAAATTGTTCAGCCTATGTCATGGTACCAACGCTTTCGTCAAGGTCAATCTAGTATGGATTGGTCCTTGGTTAAATCTTCCTCACTACATGAAAAAACTCAAGAATATATTGCTGATCTTAACAGGCTCTATCGACACCATCCCCAGTTTTGGCGCAACGGCGAACAAGATTTTATGATGATCTATGAATATGGGCCTAATCTAATTGTAGCTTATCATCGAGGTACATCTGACAACAGGCGTATGGCCATCATTCATAATTTTTCCAATCGAGGATATCCATCTTATGATGTGTCATTACCGCGCTGGGATCCTGATGTGAATCGTATTCAGAAGACAGAGGAAATTTTCAATTCCGACAATCCAATATACGGCGGATCAGGATCATTTCAGAATCAACAAATAGAAATGATTAACACATCCACTGGTGAAGTATCATTCAGATTGGCCATACCACCTCTCGCTACTCTTGTCCTCGAAGAGCATTTAAGTTGATACATTTTAAGTGATGACTACAGCAAATAAAGATCTACATCGATCTCTTGGGTGAAATGTTATAGTCACTGATCAGCTTCCTATATCGTTTCAATGATAGATTGAAAAAAGGTCAAGTTTTTGATAAAGAAGACCCAACAAAACAAAACATGGTTTTTCTTTAAAGAACAATAATATATAGTTTTCCGATTTGTCCCATTGATAAGACTTTTTATCAAAACAGAACAAAACTTTGCCGAGGTCTGATCGGCAATCAAAATAAACATGAAAATTTCACAAGGTACATGACATTTGATTTCGTGAATCTATGAGTGCATGCGTATTCTATTTTCTGAGAAAAAAAAGAAACAGACATAGACATTTTTTATGATGATAGTTCTCGCATCTGATCCCCATTGGAACGATGAAACTTATGCAAAAAAATCTTATTAGAGCATTTTTTCTCAAAGCTTTAAAAGACCTCAGTTTATTGTTAGTAAGATAGATCATTTTCAGTAGTTTTGTGAATGAAGATTAGGATCGAACATAGTACTGTTGCGTTGGTTTTAGTGTGCGTAATCGGTAGAAAATCAATCAGTCCTTCCAACAACCCTTTATAAACTATATTATTTTAGTGAAGATTCGACCTTCACATCTAAAGTTTTGAATGAAGCCAAGTTTATTGACCAAAATGTCAATTATTACGGCTCTTTCTCTATTTACATCTCAGATTGATTACTGTAGGACTTCGAAATACTGAATTTATTATGATTATCGATAAAGAGAATCATACCTGAGAACATTACAAGCCTATCAATAGCACTCTACAAAGTCGATTAATCCGAGTGCTCATGCAACCCTTCTTTTTTCAAGATGACTTCTTCATTGTGTAGACCTTAAGGATGTGTATTTCTCTTACACTTCTCTTGTGTGAATAGAGGTGGAAACAATTGCCTTTAATGTTTCCTAAAAGCAAGATTATAACGAAGATTCAGATGTTGCTTCTATCATTCCTCAAGAAAATACATCCGACAAAAAAAACTTGATCTTGTTGTAAAGAATCATTGGTTTATCCCAGTTGACGGTAGAAATAAGTCATTACTAATCTGTTTATTAAATAGTACTGGATAGGAGACGGGAATGAATGAAACGATAACATGTGCTAGTGGTAAAACAGAAATTGTATGAGATGAGCGAAAACGAAAAAGTGAATTATAGTTCCGATCATATGAAAGATAGAGCTCGTGTTCTTGTTTTGGATACACAGGTAGTATTTTAGTTTGTGTTCTTCTAAAGTGAGAAAACACACGATCCAAAGCTTCGATGAACTGAAATTCGAGACGTCACTACTCGCTCAGACATAATTTATTCAGCTTTACAAAAAGTCTAATTTCCACGCAGAAACGCTTGTCGCAAAATGCCATCATGATTGAAAGTTGAAAGTTACGAGACAGATTACTAGAACGTTCCTAGCACACCTGTTACAACTTGCGGAGTAGATGCAGAACAGAATTCAAATTTCTCTCAATACGTTTCAAAACTCATTGCCGATCGTGTAGCACAAGCAACGACATGCCAAAATGTGACGCTTGCAATATATTTTTGTTATTACTCTGAAGAAGAATACATACATAATTTATTTGCTCTTTATTTACTCTCATTTAATTGATACTCGTACAAACCCATTGGAAATGAGTAGAGTGAAAAATTTGAATCGTCCACAAAATATACCTTGTTTTTCATCACTTTCTCAATTCATCACGTTACGGCTGTCATAATATAATATGTAAACCGTCATGGCATTCATTCATCAAAGCAAAGTAACTATTGAATTGTTCACGACTCACTGCATATAAGATCATCAATAATTTATGTTTATTTTTTGAATACAATACAACATCAAAGGGGTACAACAATCCATTAACTATTTCGAAGTTGTTCGATTTTGAAGAGAAAAAAATAACACAAATTGCATTTTAAAATGTTTCATTTAATGCTGTATGGTCATATTTGTTCTGAAACCGTCAGGTTTAACTGTTGCCGTGAATCGTGGAAGTTGTCGTCGTCGGCAAAGTATTTTTTCTTGAAACATTTTGTTCACGCCACTTATTGATACAAGACAAATGAAAGGAAAGATAAAAATAAGAAAATAACAAAGAAAAAAAAGATACTGTGCGGCATCGACTCCAACATCTTGTGATAAACCACATAAATGAGCAATTTGAATAATACTGAGTGGAACATTGAAGGCCAGATTAAGAGAGGAGAGGAACATTAACTGAATTACCATCTTCCGTTGTTTGCGCCATTGAATCGGCAGATGAGAACGGTATTTGTGCCAGACAACTCGAAAAAGGAAAGCAAAACTGAAAAATGACTCGAGAAGTGATGGTACAATACAATTGGCAAACACGTCCCACATGCGCATAATTTGATCGTTTTGATAGCATGGGGACCCATTGCAGACTGGTAATGTATAATCATAAACATTTTCACATGAAAAATAGTAAATGGCATAAATATAGTAAATGAAAATGTACAGGATTAAGAACAGCAACGGTAGATAGTGTACGAATATGCGTTTCTTTCTTGTCGAAATCCATTGATCATGAAATACAATAATATGTCGTTCTAGAGCGATCCAGGCCAGCAATATGGTTCCTCCGTTGTACAGACCAATATCGGTAAACCACCAAAGGAGACAGATCGAATGGTTCGACGGAATAACACTCGAATGTACGATAAAATTGAGATAGAAGGGAACATCAATTAATTGAGAACCCAAGCCAAAAATGAGTAAAACAACGAGAGCATGATTTTTCACTGCAGAACGTAATTTTCGATTAATAAGAACATAAATGAGAACGAAAAATGCACAAATGGTGGATGAAATGTCGAACAGAAGAAGAACCCAAAAACGAGCAAAACGCGGCAGGGATATTTCGGTGCTGGCAAATGAACTGCTTTCTGTATTGTTTGAAGTTTGATTGTCCATCATTACTAAAAGCTTCAAAATAATGAAAGAATAACAGTTCATGTAGAATAATGAACTAGGATACTAATTGAGCATCGTTAAAATTGAATAGGCGGCCTACTGCAGGATTCATGAGGAAATGGCGTGCGGCATTATTTCAATAGATCCCAAGTTAGTCGAATTAACTAGATCTGGTGCATTAAACTCAAGAAGAGATAGGAAGCAATAGTGAAAACCGAGTCAGACTCCCTAATTTTTTTCTACACACTCTCGTGAGTCACCTTTGACTATAAACTGGAAGACCCAGCTACTCATTACCGTTCTTCACATTTTTATAGTTCCAGAATGAAAGCAAATTTAAAAAAAAATGATTTTAGATGTGCACTCGTAACATTCTGCATATCTCACAAGGTTTTCCCTAGACAAGAAGACGCTCCAGTGAGAAGATTAGATGGTTAGCTTGAATCGTGGTTCATGCGACAATCAGAAGAGGATAAGAGAAAAAGAATAAAAAGGGAAGAGCATAAAGTCGACTGCTGCACTACATGCAGTCAATCGACTCAACTGTGTAAATTTGAGCGATCAAAGAAAGTTCTAAATTAGCTAGCACGTCAATCGAATCATGAGACACAGTCAGAAGTAACCCAAACAAAAATAGTAATGAATTATAAATAACTTAAAATACCTATTTACGCTTGTCGACCTGTTTTATTGAAATGATGATTATTAGAGAAAACATGTGACACGAGATTCTGCCTTGTAAACTTATTCATACTGTCATGACAATATTTTCCGCTTGTTACCCACAGCATGCAATGAAAAAACTTTTTAGTCGTTCATCTGAGAAAAATTTATTTCGATCATTGAAAAAGTAAACAACTGAACATGACAACTGTTCGTTGCAAAAAGATTACTGCAAAGAAGAGACTTAATTACGATTTTTTTTCAGTACCGAATAATCACTAAGAAGTAAGAAATTTGATTAACAAATCTATCAGAAGCAGAAGGGTTGCCAAGAAATTACTCAACAGACACGATAGCGACCAAAACAGAATAATACTTTAACACTTTTTTTGATTTTTAAACGCTGAGAGTCGTTGAAACTTTCACTATTTTAACGGGTTTTTGGTGATTAATGAAACATTTTTAACGATTTGAATGATTTTGATGAAAACGTCTGGTAACAACTAGCAAATCTGTTGTACAAACGATGTATTGACAAAAATGCACGGTGTCCCAAAAGTTCTTGCCCACAAATATTTTTTAGTATAACTTTACTATGAATTGATCTTTATCAATTGAGTTTTGTTGTTAGATATGTGCACGATCATGTTTTTATTTCTCTGGACAAGCTATAAATGTGCTCTTGGAAGTGATTACCTTTAGTCGAGATATGCAGATTTAGCATTTTTTCTGGCTCCATAATAACATTTTGTAGAATTTCTTTTTTAAATGCTTCAATCTCTGAAATTATTTCAATCTTTAAATTACCTAACTTTCGAATAGTCGTTTTATAGTAATTAGTTTATATGTGTCCTCATAAAAAGAAATTGAATCGTATCAAACAAAAATCCCAGCAAATAGAAAAGAAATGCTGCGTAATATTATCATGAAATGGGAATAAAGACGAAAATCTTGTATCTAGACTGAACTTAATTACTTTAAAGCACCAGAAATAAAAACTTGATGATGTCACCTATCATACAAAAAAGTCAGTTAATAAAAACCAATCAATAGTGTAGTTATACGAAAAACAAATTTTGTGTAGGAACACTGCAAATGCTTCATGACGATTCTTGAAAAACAGTTACTGTATGAAAACTTATAGTAATTCTCAGAACAAGATTACTCTCTCGGAATATCTAATTCTCTCAGTCACTTCTCTCAAATATCGAAATCTATCTAATCTAATTTGTTATATCTACTTGTTTTCACTTCAAGTATTCTGTCTGATTGAAAAATCTCAATATTAATTTCTTATTTCTTAGATAGTAGTTTGCTGAATCTTCAAATATCAGTTACAATACATGACGCTTACCCATAATGC